ATATAACCGGACTTTAGAAATGTCAACTAATTTGCCCATGGCAATGGCTGATGGCGTTATGGGACTACAAATTTTTATATTTTTATAGAACATTTGCAATCACCCTGTGGTTTAAACGTGGCACACCCCATTTCTACATGCCATATGACATTGTATCCAAAAGATCAAAATGAAGTACCACAGTGAAGAAAACATGTTTCTTTTTAGGCAAAATGCTTGACTGAACATTAGTTTACACATGAACAGTATTGTTACACTTAAAACAAAGAAAATGCTATTTTTCAGCTGTTTTTCAAGCCACGGTTCCAAAACAGCAATTGTTGAAAATGACGTAGCCAAATAGGACTCTTCAGCTTTTCTTTCAGACATTCTGGCTTCCATGGGTACCTACATCCCACACCTTGCTTCTGCTCAGATCACTGCTTTACATCCCTTAGCATCTCACACTGCTTCTATTGCGATTTTATATTATAAAACTCTCCTACTAAAATGGGAGAGGGGTGGATGTCAAAATCCTATAACAATTCTGCCACTTGTCCCAGGAAGTTGGCCATGAGAGAGAGGGCTGGGGTATGATGATATAAAGACAATTCTCCATGTAAGTAGAAATTACACTTGATTGTCATTTGCTCATTGTTTATAAATATGAGTACATGCATTTAAGTAGGGATATGAATGGATAACCGGTTGAAATTACCAATAGTTATTTTGGCAGGGGAGGATTTGCATAATATTAATATGCCTATATTAGTCACTCTGTTGCATCATACCACCTCTGGTATTCTTATAAATATAAATTATAAGCAATATCAGCAAAATTGAGACTCACTCTAGAACTGTGTCCCCAACCCCAGAAGTGTAGTGATTCACTTTGAAACAGACAAGATTTCTTCTTTAAAAAACAAATATTGCTTTGACTCCAAGGTCTTTGATCCATTTGGAGTTGATTCTGGTGCCGGGTGATATATAAGGATCTAGCTTTAGTTTTCTACAAGTGATTAACCAATTCTGCCAGCACCATTTACTGAAGAGGCTGTCTTTCTTCCATTCTATTGTTTTAGCTCCCTTATCGAAGATTAGTTGGCTATAGGTCTATAGGTTCATTTCTGGGTTTTCAATTCTATTCCATTGGTCCTGAGGTCTGTTCTTGTGCCAGTACCAAGCTGTTTTGATTACTATGGCTTTATAGTAGAGTTTGAAATTTGGTATTGATATTCTTCCAGCACTGTTCTTTCTGTTGAGGATTGTTTTTGCTATTCAGGGTCTTTTATTGTT